TCATAGATTTTACTAGGTTTAGGGTTAAAGGTTGGAATCATAATATACTCAGAGTGCAATGCCCCTTATAAGGTATGTTTATACTATACTTAGGAATGCATTATCCTAGACAGTTTAGCAAACGAGTTGTCTTCACTGGTTTGTTCTGGTTGCTTACTGTTGATATCCTTTACTTCATCGTTCGTAGGAATTTCAACTATTACGTTATTATGCTGCTTATTAAATATGACAAAATATTTCTCGAGAAACTCATCGTTTAGCAGTAATTGTCGTGTATGGTTCAACACAGTAACGATTTCTGAAGGTTTATCATCTTGCTTCTGGTATTTATGTTTATACGCTTTCCTCTTCTCTCTGCATTGAATTCAATTTGCGAATAGTTCATTAGTCTTGTTGTATCCGAACTCTTCAGTTGTTTTTTTACTGCGACACCTTGTGCATTTAACTTTTGAGCCTTCCATGTTGTATATAAAGGACACTATCCTTTTAACTCATATTTCCTTTTATCATTGAAACTCATTTCTTCCGGTTATCATTGAAACTCGCTTCTTTCGTTTATCATTGTCTTTTTTTTATAATATCTAAACATTCACAACAAGTAGAGGTGTGTTTATACTGCATTAAATACCTACCCACATAGGCATACTCATATATCCTAAAATACATCTTTTTTTTAAATTCCTTACATCTAACGCACTGCTTATCACACGGAGGATAATATTCAGTTTTAAAATCAATATTTATATTGTCCACATTTGTTGTAATCATTATAGTAAATTACAATATATTACCATAGTTCTCTCATTATGATCCTAAACCCTAAACCCTAAACCCTAAACCTATGATCAAACTGTAGGGTTTCCTTAGGCTTTATCGAAACGAGTTCAGCATTAGCACACTCTTATGGGATGCTAACGGATTACACGGTTTAGGGTTTAGAGTTTAGGGTTTAGGGTTTAGGGTTTAGGGATTACACGAACGCTTATTGTTTCACGAATTGCACAGGGTCAACCAAGGAGCACACGACAGTTTTTTACGGGCTTCTGCCAGAACAATGTAGAAAATAGTTTCTAATTTTATTTATTGAGTGAAGATATTCCTACTGTAGTTACTGTAGAACCTATTGATATACCACAGTATAAATATAAGAACAGCAAATATGAGATATGACCAAAACTACCCGCCAAAATGATTGCCGTAGCAAGTTCAACAGGAGGTGAACCGGTCTTAACTCAAAATTAAATACTAAAGATATGCCGTCGTTCATTTGAAAGAATATGTATTTTTAGCCCGAGTTTTCATGTCGATGACACGTGGACAGCAGTAAAGAAATACGTAAGCGATGTTATGAATGTTGATACAGAGAAAGAAAAGTTTATTATGAAGAATATGATCCAATACAACCCCCAACACTATAGGCCTAAACCCTGACCCTAGACCCCAGAGACCCTAAACCCCAAACCCGAGCCCCAAACCCAACACCGAAGCCGAACACCCAAGACCCAAAGGATCCTAAAATTCTCAGAAGTCTAGGACCTTTTCAGGTGGGGAGTTACCGTTATAGGAGCCTTATAGAAGGTCTATATACCCTATAGAAGCCTTATAGAAGCCCTATATACCCTAAAGTCCCCACCTGTACCCTAAACCCTAAACCCTAAACCCTAAACCCTAAACCCTTAAAGGAACCCTAAACCCTAAACCCCTTTAAGGAACCCTAAACTCTGTACCTGTAGTTTCCTTCAAAGAAGGTGTTGAGCTTCTGCCGCCAGGCTCCATGGCTGGTTGGAGCTTTCCGAGGTGCCGTGTTCCGACCAAGCCCTCGTTAATGTAGGGACCTTACTTAAAGGATCAAGGGACTTAGGCTCCTATATTAGGCGCCAGGAGCTTAGTGCGTAGGGCCTGAAGGATTTAGGGTTTTTGGGGTCTAGGCTTATGGAGTTTACCCCCCCACTTAAAGGATCAAGGGACTTAGCAAGTAGGGTTATAACTAGGGTAACTATACTTATAACCCCAATTGGGGGAGTTATAACCTTACTTACTAAGTCCCATGATCCTCCAAGTAATAATTACCTATACTACCTTGGGGTTTCCTTTTTATAATTATAGTAATCATAGTATAGTATACGCCAAACCCTATTCTGATTATTAAGGCCCCTATATTGCAAGAACCCTTTAGGGTTCAGAGCTGCCCAATATAGATGTTTACGGGTTTTTAGGGTGTGGGATTTATAGGCTTGATATTAGGGATGTAGATGAATTCAGAGACACCGATTCCGGCACCCTTCTAAGATACCTGTGAATGGATTAGGAGGCAGGGCCGGAGTACGGCTCTTCGAGAGACAGCCCTGCCCGGAACCCTAAACCCGAAGTCCCCAACCCCTGAATCCCTAAGCTCTGACCTAAACCCTCAAGCTCCACAGTCCAAGCGTAAGCCTCAAGCTGCGAAGGGGGGAGACGCCAGCGAGGGCTCCGTTGCCTGCCACGGCCTCGGGCCAGGATGGAGTCGCCCCAAAGAATGTTTTCAAATGTTTTCCAAAGCACTTCTAAAGTAGAAAAGGGACCCTCGACCCAAACCCGGAACCCAAAACCCTAAACGCAAACTCATACACCCTAAACCCTAAACCCGAACCCCCAAACCCAAACTCATGGACCCTAAACTCTAAACCCAAACCCCTAAGCCCCACAGGGCTTCTGTGAGTAGCTTTACATTCAAGCCTCTGCATCTATTGGTAGCATGATCCCTCGGGCAGACGCCATTTCAACGCCTCTAAGGCTGCATCTCGCTTTCCCATGGTCTTTCCACTCCAAACCCTAAACCCCTAAACCCCTAAACCTCTAAACACCTAAACCCTAAACCCCTAAACCCCTTAACAAAATAAACCCTAAACCCCTTAACCCCTAAGCCTCCAAACCCCTAAACCCTAAACCCTAAACCCCGAAGCCCTGAACCCAACGACAAAGGCTTTGTTGGCCTTTCGTCCCAGGCCTTAGAGGCTGAACTCTAAAGCCACGCCCTTCCCTGCCATCTTTCAAGTTTATTCATACTATCTACATACTAAAAGCTAGCTATACTAATAGTTACTAATAGTAAAAACAAGAATACTAATCATAGTAAGGATATCAATCAGAATAATGGTAGTATTTATAATAGCAATAATAGCATATACGAGCAGTAGCTCCCGAGGCTGGATCGCGACGCTGCACCTGCTGGAGGAAGGCAAGGGCCCCGCTTGTGGGCTTGGGGCTTCGAGTGCAGGCGGAGGGTTTCGTGTTTGGTCGGGGTGCCAAAGCCCGCACTCCAGAGTTCAGGGTTTGGGTTCGGAGTGTAGGGTTTAGCTGGCGGAAGAGTTTCGAGTTTAGGGTTGTCGAGTTTCCGAATTTGGGCAGGAGCCCTGAAGAATCAGCATAGCCTTACACTGCAGACTCACCTCTCTGATCTCAGACCTAGACCTAGTCTTGGTGATAGTTGGCCGGAATCGAAAAGGACCCCGCAAGGCTTGGCAGATGAGATTAGGGCTTGAGGGGTACACCACTTTTCCCACTGTAAAGAGTGCGCAGGATAACACAGGACTTTGTGGACCGGCAGTTCGAACTGCCACACATAGCAGCCGGGTGTGGACGTTGTGGTGAGCGATCGAAACGTTCAAAACGACAACCTGGTAACTATGACGGTAGCGCGAGAAGGTCAAATGTCATGAACACCAGGACCCGGCTTCGGAACTCAACGGCTTCAGTGCCTTGAAGTAAACCTCTACCCCAACTTCCTAGATCTGGTACCCTAGCCCTAGACCCCAACCCGGAAGCTCTAAACTTCAGTTCCAGACTTTAGGATGTACCGCTTGCCAAAGAGCCCACAAGTGCGCACAGATGAGCTGCCCTGGTACGGCCCGTCCTTCGGCGAGGAGCCGGAGGCAGCCCTTTCAAGGCTTTTTGATTTTCGACCCTAAGCCCCAAACCCTAAACCCTAAACCCTAAACCCTGTGAGCACTTCCTAGCAGACTGCAGTGTAAGGTTACCGGTTGCAGCAAGTTTGCGATGCTCGGCTCTTCAAAGCTTGCAGCGCTGGGTGCTTGCAGGTTCTCGAACATCACCTACCAGGTTTGAGGGTTTAGGGTTTGGGATTTGTGGTCTCATTGAAAGCCATCTTACCAAACAAGATAGGTTCTAAGGGCCCTTGGATCCGTCTTAAGCCATATACGCACCTCCATCAAGCAAAGCCCCCGAAGCCCAAAACCCTAAAGTCCTAAACCTCAGCCCCAAAGACCTATAGCCTGAGCGCCTAACAGCCCCCAAAACCCCCGGAACCCTGAAGCTCTAAACTTAAACCTTACACCCCGACCCCGAAACCCTAAACCCTAAACCCTAAACCCCAAACCCCAAACCCTAAACCCTAAACCCTAAACCCTAAACCCTAAACCCTAAATCCGAAACCCTACCCAACCCGGCGCAGGCCCTGGGCCAAATCAAGGTCGAGCTCCTCCCGGGTCGTCGGCTGCAGACGCTGCCGGGCTGCAGCGCAAGCATCGGGCTACAGGGTTGGAGGGTTTAATGTAGGGGACTTCATGATTATCTATACTATTTTAGGGGCCTCCTCCTTAGAATTGTAGTATAATGGGCCCCCAAACCCTATTCTACTTATTGAGGCCCCTAGATTAAGGGTTTCCAGGGTTAGAAATTGGAGTTCAGGGTCGGGCTTTCCTTGGAGAATTGAAACGTTTTCAAAGTGCCAGGCGTTGTTGAAGGGGGTTGCAGACCAGAGTGTTATAGCTACAGCTATGTTATGGCTCCTGTGGCGCATACGCATAGGGCATAGAGTTTTCGAGTTTAAAACGCAATTGGGCTTACCATCTTCGTGACCTTGGCCGCGCTGCAGCGCGTAGCAGAGCTCTGAAGAGAACGAAGGCCAAACATGAACCCGCACGGAACACGCATTGCAAGAAGGCTGCTACTTGCATTAGGCGCGTCGGGGTTTGCACGATGTCTCGCGAAGTTTCAGAGCAACGGCCTCCGGACCCCTCAACCCTAAGTCATGGGCCACAATTCTGATAACCCCTGAATCTGAACATGTCCGGTAGCTTGAATCTGTCTGGCCAAGGAGCATCCGCATCGAAGATGAGGACCTGATTTCAGGTGTTCGGGCTTCAAGCTTTCTGGCCTAGTGCCTTAGTGGTGGGTTTCAGGATTGTTTCTTCATAGCTGGCGAGCAACACCGGAGCCTCAATCGAATCCAAAGGCTAAGGACTTAAATAGCCTGCGGAAAGTCCCAACACTTCCTGGCGATTTCCGGGGATTCGCTTTGTAAAGGTTTACGGTTTGGGCTTTTTCCTCATGGGATTTAAGTGTTCAGGGTTCCATAAAGAGGGTCGTCCTGGGGCTTTTGGTCATCATGGTCCTCCGTGGGATCTGCGGTATCGAAACAGATCATATTTGTAGCAGCGAATACTTTGAGAACGAAGCCGATGAAACGATTGACTGCTTTGAGGGAGCAGAATGTAGACAGGCAGTTGATCTTTCTTGTCTGCGAGGCTATTGCGGTGTAGCTTGCTCATCTTTCCTTGCGAATCCTTCCCTTGACTTCTGACTGGTCGCACAATCGGGGTTGGCTTCGCTTCCTTCGAAACACTGAAGCCGCTACGCGCGTCAAATCAAAGTCTTCCAAACAACGACAGCAGACCCCAACCCGGTCTTAAAAGCTCCGCTCTTCGCCAGCTTTCATGCAAAGGTGGACTCGAAATCAAACTTCGCAACCTGCGAGTCGGAAAGCCAACTTCAGGAAGGAGAAGTCGTAGTCGGTGCGACGCTGAAGGAACGTAGTAAAAAGCATTCCTGTGAACTACTGAAAGGCAACGCCGAGATCACGGGGCTTTGCCTGCAAAGCCCCACTTCGGTTTAGAGTTTAGGGTTTAGGGTTTAGGGTTTAGGGTTTAGGGTAAGGGTTTGGGGTTTACGGAATAGCCTTTGATCTTCGGTTTTGCGGCCACCCCGATTTTCTTCTGATTCTGGGCCGTGTTCGGGTTTAGGGTTTAGGGTTTAGGTTGGGGGTAGGGTGTTGTGGCGAGTCTACTTGACTTGCGTTGTTCTCGTTCTTTTGGGCACCTGCGGAACATTGCCTACTATATACGGGTCGGAATAGTTAGTACTACACTTCCATTATGGCCCTTGATTACATATAACTTACCCCAAAACCTTATTCTACAACTTAAGGCGATTAAAGCCCCCACATTCCCTACACCCTAAACCCTAAACCCTAAGCCCATTCCTAAACCTCCGGCGCAGGATGACGACTGGCAGTCTCCCACGCTCGGAGCCCATGGGAGAAGGTATGTCGAACGGGGGCGTCGCAACAGTTTCAGTACTGCGGTTGGTCGGTTCTTTTTTGGTTGGTTTAGGGTTTGGGGTGCCCGTGTACCCCCCAGAGGGGGGGAATCTCATACCTTAAAACCTTCCAACCCTAGTTGAGTGCGAAAACAACCACATAGCACCAGTCTTAAGCATACCGCAAACTCCAGAAACCCCTGTAAAGCCTGCAGGAACATGTAAAACCTTTGTGAACCTTTTCCTAACCCTATCACACCCCGAATCCGAAACTCAAAGTTCTCAAAGCCTGCAAACACCCCAACTCCCCTGTAAATCGGTTTAGGGTTTAGGGTTTAGGGTTTAGGGATGCAGTAAAGGACCTAGCCGTGATAAAGCCACTTTGCAAACACACTCGCAGAACCTCGCAAAACCCTAATCCCTGCAAGCTTTGCAGGACCAGGAATACCCTAAACCCGAAACCCTAAGCCCTAGACACTAAACCCTAAACCCTAAAGCCTTACAAACCCTGATAAACCCTAGACCCTCAACCCGAAACACCCTAAACCCCAAACCCGAAACCCTACTTGGAGGATAATGGGACTTAGTAACTAGGGTTATAAATAAGGTAACTATAATTATAACCCCAACTAGGGTACTGAGAACCTTACTTACTAAGTCCCATGATCCTCCAAGTACACTGAGACCCTAAACCCCTACACCCCTAAACCCTAAACCCTAAAGCCTCAACCCGAAACACCCTAAACCCCAAACCCGAAACCCGAAACACCCATAACCCCAAACCCGAAACCCTAAACCCCAAGCCCGAAACCCCTAACCTGAGAGCAAGAGCTGTCCAGGCCCTTCCGGCGCCGCGCCACCGAGGAGATCGCCGCCTCCACCGCGGCGGCGGAGAACGCGGCCGCAGGTTTCAGCTGTCTTTTGCTGAACGTCTACCAGCTTTGTTTGGGCTTTTTGTAGGGGTTTCATTCAGTTTCATTGGTTTCGTGGAGTTTCATTGGGGTCCACTCAGGCGGTTGTTCTTTGACGACGGGCTTCCTATGTTCTTGTGGGGTTCCGCGCCCAGGGCGCGGATCGGCTCTTGGGTGATGTTGTGGATTTTCGATTGCTGCGTACTGCGGGGTACGAGTCTGATTGCTTTTGCGCCTCAAGGTGCTGCAGTTCAGGATGTATCTCCAAGCCTTACTCCCAAAACTGTTTGCTTCGACTTTTGGGTAATGTAGCAGCCCCCAAGTAATTACCAATACTTTTATGGGGTTCTTTATATTATACATAGTATAATATGCCACAAAACCTTATTCTAATTCTTAAGTCCCCACATCATGCGAGTTTCAGGAGGCACGGTTCCCAAAACAGAGCGCTGTTCACCACCAGTTTGATTTCGTCCCCCTGATCCTCCTGATCTTCCCAGGTTTGGGGGTTGGAGGTTGATAGGGTTTGGGGTTTATAAGGGTTTAGGGTCTAGGGTTTGGAAGGGTTTAGGGTGCCGTTTCAGACCATGTGGAGCCACACGTGCTCTCACCTCTGTGCCAGGTGGTGCATTTGTTTTTGGCGGCGGCCGCTGATGCCCTGACAGCTGTGGAAGTATCTGTACATTAATGCGGCTCTTCTCGTAATCATGCTTCTGACTGGTACACCATGACGGTGACTTCATTGAGGTTTCGACTGTCCGTTTTGAACAAACTTCGTTTCCGAAGAGAAGAAGCTGGGAGATGTGATGTGCGAGGTTTTGGCGGTCCCAAACTGTTGACACCATGGGGCTTATGGCAATATCCTGAATCGTAATTCCCGCAAAAAGCGATAGCTATACTGGTTAGAAGGAAAGGCAATTGCGACCTGCGCCTTGTTGTTCGGAAGTTTTCCCCCGCTGGGCACCCAGCCGTTAACGGAGCGCTGCGACGGAAAAGAGGCGGAGCACCTGCTGGGATTCCGGGTTTTCGGTTAAGTCTAGGGTTACTGAGCCTTACAGTACCGTTTTGGGTAATGTAGGAACCTGATAAAAGAAACCCTGGGCCTTTATTAGGGTTCCTCGTATGAACCCTTAAGATATTGGGGTTGTTGGGCCAGGGTTTCTTAATCAGGTTCCTACATTAGTGGAGTCTGTGCTTCAGGCCTTTAACCCTAAACCCTAAACCCTAATAAACCTTACCGTTTAACCCTAAACCCTAAACCCTAAACCCTAAACCCTAAACCCTAAACCGTGCTTCAGGCTCCTAGAGCCTCACTCCTAAACCTGCGACGAGGAGCTGAAGAGTTGGTATTTTAGACCCTAAGCCCTAAACCCTAAACCCTAAAGACGAGGAGCTGAAGAGTTGGTATTTTAGACCCTAAGCCCTAAACCCTAAACCCTAAACCCTAAACCATAAAGACGAGGAGCTGAAGAGTTGGTATTTCGCCGTGCCCTCGGACCCCGAGGAGGCACGTGTGGACTTTCAGGATCCCTGAACGCTTCTTCGCAGGTTCCTTTAAGGATTCAACAAGGGTTCCGGGTTTAGGGTTCAGGGTTTAGGGTTCCTTCAAGGGAATAATACGGGTCTGTGTGGTTTTGCCATTGGGCTTTTAGGGTTCTATACATGTTACCTCCTTCGCATCTATAAGGGTTCTTTCGCGGATCTAGAAGGGTTACGTGTTGTTTGGTGGTTTTGGAGGGGCGCAACTTTTGTGGCTTCTACTGTCACCGTGGGCGCTGTTGAGCTTAGGAGCTGGGTTGAGGGCTCGGGGTTGTTGTTTATCAAACCTTGCAGAACCAGATAGAGCCCTAAACCCTAAAGCCTAAACCTGAAACCCCTAAGCCCCTAAACCCTAAACCCTTAAATCATTATCAAATCACAGCTTGCAGCAGCTTCTCAACGCCTGGGCATGTCCTGCAGAGGCGCTGCCGATGATGGAACCACCAGAAAGCCCCATCTAAAGCCCCATCTGAAGCCTCTAGCACCGTCTAAAAGCTAGCTGACAAGACAAGACTTTCCCATCGCTCTGTATGTCGCAGATAGGCCTTCTGTCTGCAGCCCCCTGAATCTCAATTCCGAAATCCTCCCAAAACTGGAAGCCATATCAATCCCCTAAACCCTAAACCCTAAACCCTAAACCGTCTTTGTTCGAGTTGCCCAGCTCGGTGAGGCACGCGCCGCTGCGCGGCTGGCGCCCCCGACGCGGCCGCCGGTCGCGCTGCTGGAGGCAGCGATACACGGAGCTGTCAGGTTTTGATTAGGACCTACTTGGAGGATCATGGGACTTAGTAAGTAAGTAAGGTTATAAGTACCCTAATTGGGGTTATAATTATAGTTACCTTATTTATAACCCTAGTTACTAAGTCCCATGATCCTCCAAGTAGAGCATTGGGGTTTGGCTCGGCTCAGGGATTTTTCAGAGCTCCCACCCAAAGTAGGGTCTCCTCTACGACCCCGAGCCTGCTGCACGTGAAGTCTTCCAAAGAAGTATCGGGAGCCTGCATTTTCAGTCATCTGCAAGAATCCGAAGACGTTTCATCAATTCTTTCTGCAAGTTTGGGGGTTTACTCTCATCACAGTGGTCCTGCATCGCAAAAAGCGGTAGAGTTTTCGATGTACGTCTGAAAATTCAATCGCACCAAGTTTACGCATAGGTTCGTCGATGAAACCAGGCCCAGGGCTCCTGGAAGAGCGTTGTAACAGGGAGCTGCCATGAACCCTGAACCCTAAACCCTAAACCCTAAACCCTAAAACCCTAAAACCCTAAACTCTATGGAAGCCTCCACATTTCGACCTTGAAGCACCAAATCCCGAATCAGCCGAAGCTCCACTGCTCCTTTCCCTGAACCCCTGGAGAATGATAAAGACAGTGGTGATGATGATGATGATGATGATGATGACGTTTCATGATGATGAAAAAGAAGATGATGATGATGATGATGATGGCAACACAGACAGGGGTAGTGCTGTAGTGCTGATACTAGCAAGCTTACATGCGGATAACCCGAAACCCTACACCCCTTTACAGACATACTGCAAAGGAGGCTGCAGCCGCTGCACAGGCGGCCGCGAGTACGGAAAGGGGGTGGGGGGTGCACCGGGGTTTAGTTGACGAGTTTAAGATTGGAGGTTTAGGGTCAGGGGTTACGCGTTCGGATTTCAGGGGTTCCAGAGTTGACGGAGATGATTTCAGATTCAGATTTGCAGGTTTAGAGTGAGGAATTCGTATTGCACTGTTTGCAAAGGTTATTTAGTCGTCCATTCTATTGCACATAGACCTTGTTGAGAAGTATATGAGTCCGTCAGGATTGCAAAAGCTCATAACCTCGGGTTGCAAGGTTCTCAGCAAAGGTGCGAAGAATGCCAAGCCACCCAAACTTAACACGCAGCGGAGTGTAGAGTTGGAGTCTTAAACCCTCAACCCTAAACCCTAAACCCTAAACCCTAAACCCTAAACCCTAAAACCCTGACTGGAGGTTCAAAAGCTGAAGGCAGCGAGTCATCAGTCCGTACGAAGCAAGAAGTATTCGAGGAAGGTCCAGGGTTTGCTCCGGCTGGTTTGCCTGGTCTGCTGCCTGCAGATCAGGGTTTAGGGTTTAGGGTTTAGGCAAACCTGAAGCAAAAACTCATACTGCCAACGTCTTGGACCACAAGAGGTGTAGGTTTTGGAGTTTGAGGGTTTCGGAGACTCGAAACCTAAACCCCGAACCCCTTTCATTGCTCTTGCTTATTAGCAACAAGAAGCACATAGCCACAGGGTGATGAAGCCTACCCCTTATAGGGGCATTCCCTCCAAAAAGCTCATGTTTAGATGATTTGTTGGGTACCTGGTGGTGGGGACCTATTGCTAAAACACGATTCCCAGGCACAGGGGTCCTTTCCAGGTTTGCACACAGTTGCTGGTGCTGGGTGGGATGACGGAGAGCTCAACCTAAACCCTAAACTCCCTTTAACCGATGATACTACGGTCAGCGGTTCATGGTGGATGACACAGTAGGGTTTAGGGTGTAGGGCCAGCGATGCCTTAGCAACCCTTGCCGTCCCTTTTCCGCCTGGGCGCTCTTGCAAAGCAGACCCTATGAGCCCTGAGGCATAGTAGAGTATGCCCATGCCATGCGATACCATATTCGAGGCGGAGCGGAACAGGCAGTTTGCGCCGCCCACAGGCGTCCCTGATGTGTCGGTGCTTGGGAAGAAATAGGGTGCAGCCTAGGGGCCTGAATATCGAACTAGTTTTGCAGGTGTTCCCGTTTGCTAAGGGGACATGCGACGTTTCGGACATAGTCTCGGTTTAAAGGTTCTTCGTCTTCCTCACCTGTTGGGGTTGCTGCTGAACGTGCCAAAGGGCGGGCTACCTATAAGTACAGATCCGACAACCTTTCTTGGCACACAGGGCTCGCTAACTGCCGTTAAGCTTCATGGACTGTTGTTTGGGATGCATCTCTTGCAGCCTGTAGAGTCCTTCAGAAAAAATAGTATTCCTTAGCAGTCCTTACTATGCTGACGGTATTGTAAGACACGCCCAATACCCTCTGGCAACGACTAAAAGCACGTTCTGAGGGCCACAACAGGGTTACCAGCTGATTTCAACTCTTGATCGTCTGGAAAAGCAGCACCGGGCTTGGCAGCCCTAAACCATCCTAAACCCCATGGTCTCGTGTCGAGCTAGGATTCGTTCTAGTTGCCATGGCGCTTAAGGTTTCAGGGTTGCCTTTTTGGAGCTGGCTGGCACTGACCTGGGCACTGGAGGTTGGACCTTTGGCAAGTGCACCGCACGGCTCATCACAAGCTCGATCAAATAGATGTGATTCACTCTGTCCATAAGCCTTAAACTAAGGTGAGAGCACCCGTGGTATATTGCAGTTTCGCAAAACAGGCAACCCCTGGCGTGAACCCCAAATCATGGCAGCCATATTGCAAAGCGTCCGGCCCCCGAAACATGAACCAGAAGCAGACTGACGCATACTTCTTGGTTGCGGTTTCAAATGCTGGCCCCGATCTCTCTGCGATGACGAGCAAGCCCGACCAACTGGCACCGCCACTGGGCACACTTTGGGAAAGTTTGTGATGTAACCCTAAACCCTAAACCGACTCGAATCAAGCGTGTTGTTGAACATTCAGAGGTTCAGGGCTTAGGGGAGTGTTTAAACTTTGCAACGCTGTTCCGTAGGCCTCCTTTCAGATCTATGCTTGAAACAGGTATACCCCATATCAAAACCCAGTTCTTGGAGGTTCGGAGATGCAAGTTTTTGGGTTTCCTGCTTGCGGGGGGTTGGATTTTGGAGATCTTCTCGGGAACGCCGAAATATAAATAGATCTTCTATCTCGGCCGCAAGCTATGGGGGGAAGCAGGGCAGATAGAAGAAGACAGGGGGGTGCCCCATTTACGTCTTCAGATTGGAAAGCCCTAAACGCTTGAATCCTTCAACCCCAAACCCCTGGTTATCCCAGTATATCGGCCTTACACAAACCCCCCTAAACCCTAAACCCCAAACCCCTAAACCCTAAACCCTAAACCCCTAAACCCTAAACCCCTGAACCCTGAACCCTGTGGAGCCCCGAACCCCGAAGACCTTACGCCTCTCTTTAAAGCTAGGTTCCTGAGTAGTACCCTTTTGCACCTTTTTATTCTATGGTTCCCTTAGAAAAATGAATAACAGGAAAAAGGGCACCCTTATTATTAAACCCTAAACCCTAAACCCTAAACCCTAAACCCTAAACCCTAAACCCTAAACCCTAAACCCTAAACCCTAAACCCTAAACGGAACCTAGAAAGGCTGGTCCAAGTTGCCGCCTTTTTGAGGCCCAAGCAGCTGGGCGATGCCACCCTTGTGCCGGACCCCGTCCCAAGCCAGTTCGAGCTGCTCTTGCGGCAGCAGGACCCCAGCGGTCTTGGGTTTAGGGGTTTAGGGGTTTAGGGGTTTAGGGTTTAGGGTTTAGGGTTTAGGGTTTAGGGTTTAGGGTGTCTTGTTGCGTCTTGTGTGGCTTTTTTTTCGGGTGTTCAACGGGTTTCATGTGGGGGTTGAGGGCTTCAAGCTTACGAAGCGAGTTTTGAGATGTAGGGTTTAGGGTTTGGGGTAAGGGCTGTGCTGGGCTTCTATGAGGTTTTATGTAGTTCTATGAAGGCCCCTGCATGTTTTCGCAAGTGCTTCGGAAGGGATCCTTTAGGGTTTCGTCAGAGTCCAACAATGAAGGCTCGAGTGGGCTCTCGAGGGGTTCTGGTGTAACCTATACAGCCAACCCTAAACCCTAAACCCCAAACCTCTCAACCCCTAAAGCCCTAAACCCTAAACCCGTCAAGCATCCAGCGCTAGCTCGGAACCCGAGCATCCTGGAACCCTGAAAAGCCTTAACAACGATACTCTTCCGAATCCCATAAGGCCTGTGCAAGACCCTCATAAACCCACGGTTTAGGGTTTAGGGTTTAGGATTTAGGGAGTCTTAGGTCCAAGAAGTCCGGAAGGGCATGCGCCCCCGGAGTCCTGAGATCTGAGAGCCTCTCAGACTCTCGGCCCTTGCTTCTCCTTATTCATTATCATTCTTAGCGCGTTCATCAGTAGTATTAGGTATTTGTTCAAAGCTCCTTTCAGCGCTCAGTACTATTATAATTATATATATATATATATTACTAGTAACTAGTATTGAATTGTCATTCGCAATAATAAAACTTTTAGCTTTTTTTCTCAAGAGTCCTAAATTCGCCCGACGCCCGGCAGGGCCACCAAGAGCCCCCCGTCCCTGCCGGCCGCGCCAGGAGCAGCGCTTGAAGACGCACTTCGACCAGGCGGCCGGGAAGGAGTTTAATGTAGGGGCCTAAATAATTACCCATAGTATTTTTGGGGGTTCCTTACTCGAATTATAAATTACAATATATAATATACCCCAAAACCTTATTCTTTCTTCAAGAGGGTGCACCTGTCACCCTGCTTTTCTTTGCTCGCCAAGACGTTCAGTCCGCTCCACCCCCAAAACCCTATTCTAATTATTAAGGCCCCTACATGAATGTGGGTTTTGGTTTCGTTTTCCCAGCAATTCTTTTTGATGAGGGTTGCCTATTTTTAGGCCCTTTGTTTCTAATTCGGGCTTTAGTATGCTTCCTGGTTTCCAGAAGGACTGTACAAGGCTTTTGTATGAGTTTCACAAGTTTCAGGTTTTTTTTTTACCTTTGGGGGTATCGGGGTTTAGGGTGTGCGGGTGTTTATCAGGGCCTGTTCCATAAAGGACCAGATGTTCGGAGACAAGCTTGAGAAAGCAGGAGATCCAGTTTGTCTTGTTCAGCTTGGGAATGAGCCAAATGACATCCGACTAAGGCATTTCAAGAGCTCTGGTTTTGTCTAGGACTTCGGAAGCGATTTGCTTAGGAGTTGAGTTTCGGCACGACGGTCGATCCGAGTGTGCTGTCTATTTCTGAAATTTCGATTTAGTGTTGGGGCCTGCTGGCAGTGGGTTTGGAGGATTGTACCCTAAGCCCTATAAGCGCAAACCAGTGAACCCAAAACCTTGACGCCACTAACTAAAGCTCTAAACCAACTTCCTGAAGTGTTTTTTCTTAGTTTGCTGAGCCCTTTGAAACCCAAAGTGGAGTTTTGATCTCAAGCTCTGCAGTCGGATTTCCCAGACGCAATATGTGTGTCAACTCCGGATGAACCTGTGGAGCATCCATCGTCAGAGCTTTGGGTTGTTCAGGGTTGGATTGGGTAAGGTTGGGATGCAGTGCCAGCCGTGAAAGAACACGGCTTCCTGGATAACAAAAAGGGGCCTTAAACATTAGAATAGGGTTTGGGTATATTATACTCTAATTATAATAAGGAGCCCCCAAGACCCTATTCTAATTATTAAGGCCCCTGCATTAATGATTTCGAAGGTATTCATTCGACAAATCCCATCAGGACTTCCGGGTTGCAGCCGGCTGAACGGAAGCCTGACATTGATCTCACTACACGCGGAAGCCTCACACCGATCTCATTAAACCACGAGACCCCAAACCTTAAACCCCAAACCCTAAAGTCTAAACCTTATATAAACCCGAAGCCCACTGAACCCTATTTCCTTTCTTCGCTGCATCCTAAAACCGTTTTGCTCGAGACCTTCATTCCACACCTCTTCTTGGAGGTTCACGGGTACCTAATCTGGGTTCTATGTGCAGGGTTTCGGGTTATAAGTAGGGTTACAAGTCCCACTGTGGGTTATAGATATAGTTACCCTGCTTATAATCCCCTAAACCCTAAACCCTATAATCCCCTAAGCCCTAAACCCAAACCCCCCCGAGCCCTAAACCCTAAACCCAAAACCCTAAACCCACGAACCTCCAAGTTGAGGCGGTGCAGCGCCTGCTTCGGAACAATGTCGGTATCGACTCTCATGGTGGCTTTGACGTTTACGGGTTTCGGTTTAGGATCTGAGGTTTGAATGGGGTTTGGGTCCGCGTGTTGGGGCCAGGGCTTGTGGGGCGTAGCACTTGGGCCTGTCAACTGGATTCCCCCAAGAGTAGTAAGACCATGGGGTTCGTACTTTGGGAGTAGATGGAATTTGATTGATGAGAGCGCCTCGCAGATTGAGGAGCCATCGAGCTCCCTGCAGGGATGGGTGATTTTTGGCCTCCAGCTACGTAGGGCTTGGACCGTGCTGTTGGGTTAGGCTGGCGTTTATTTCAACTAGTTAGCGATACAACTGCCCCCTCCCCGATGCCCACTGCTCGGATCTCCCACGAAGGTTTGGGTTTAGGGTTTAGGTTTTGAGGCTCAAGGGTATATAACTTGTGGGATCTTATGGTAGGGTGGGGTCTCAGGGTTTAATTCTTTGGCTCTCGAGCTCTAAGATGTTTTAAGCTTACGTCGTCTACCGTCGTACACCCTGACCAGGAGTAGGCGCTTCACAGCAGCCCGAACCCCTCGACATTACTACTACTACTACTACTACTACTACTACTACTGCTACTACTGCTAGTGCTATTATTTCTGCAATTACTATTACTTCTACCACCACCACCACCACCACCACCACCACCACGACTACTACTACTACTACTACTACTACTACTGCTACTACTGCTACTACTACTACTACTACTACCACTATCACTACCACTACTAGTACTATTACGACGACGAAGACTGCTGCCAGGACGACGAGTATTCGTACCACCATCACCACATGTTGCCGCCACTACTGCTACAGTAACGGCGACCACTCCTACTACCCCCATCGCCACCTGCTGCTGCCGCTGCTGCTACGGCAACGACGACGACTATACTACTACTACTACTAGTACTACCACCACCACCTGCTGCTGAAACTGCTGCTGCGGCAACGTCGACGACTAAAACCGCTTCCACTGCACGACCACTACTAGTACGTCCACATCTACACCTTGTTCTACTGCTTTCGACCAGCTATTAACTACTACGACGGAAGCAGCAGCAGAGGAACTACTGCAATGGAGACTTGCCTAGTCAGGTTTGGGTCTCTGAGCCCCGAGGCGGTGATCCCTAGAGCCTTTGATTCTCATATCCAAAACTTAAACCCTACCTAACCCCCCCAAAAAAAAATAGGAAAAATAATTGACCAAGACACATCAAAGGCGATTATTTTACATGCTTTTGGGGTCCAGGTAAGCCCACAGCCCGAAGCCAACCGCAAGGCCGAGATGCCGATTGCCACCGTGGCCCTCAGCACGTGGTCCCTGTTGCGATGCAGAGGGCTGGGACAGGACCGAGTAATATAGGGGCCTTGCACCATTATACTATGTTTATAATAGGGAACCCCCAAAATACTATTGGTAATTATTTAGGCCCCGACATTACGCATGATGAGTTAGCTCCAGAGCATCTCGTATGCTGAAGCGACTCGAGCTGTCACGTGTCAGCTGTCGAACCCTTCAAGTCTGCGGGTTCTGCAAGAACCCCAAGGGTCCAAAGGACCCGATAATCAGGTACTTAGGTTTCGGATAGTAGTCATGTAGGTTACTATTTGGGAGAGTATATGATTATTACCCATATAGGTCCCATAGTCGTTCCTTTTGGGATTACCTACTGAAATCCGCAAGAGAAGCCACAAAAAGGAACTACTATGGGGCCTATGGGTAGGTACCCAGGACCCTAAACCCTAAACCCTAAACCCTTCAATTCCGGGGCTCTGGGGATCTCTGGGGTCTCCGCAAACCTGGAGGATGTGGGGACGGCTGCAGCCGCCGACGGGGATCTCGGCAGAGTGGCGGCGAAACGCCGGGGACCCGAACGCGTTTAGGGTTTAGGGTTCAGGGTTCAGGGTTTAGGGTTAGGGTTTAGGGTTTAGGGTTTAGGGTTTAGGGTTTTTTTTGCGTTTCTGTTCAAAAGGGGAGGATCCTGAGACGGACTTGCAAGTTTCGGCCAGACAACCCGGAACCTGCTGCCTAGTCATCTGTCTGGTGCTTAGTAGGGATTGGGGTTTAGGGTTTAGCGGTTTAGGGTGTAGGGTGTAGGGTTTAGGGTTTAGGGTTTAGGGATTACTATAAGGGACCTTAAAGGGACTATCATAGGGATCCATTCCCCCATTCCCTGCTAAGCACCAGATAGTCATGCGAAACCTTGGTATCCGGGGCAAGGGGGTTTTGCCTGTTGTTGCAGACATTGGACTACCTGTGTTTGACTCTAAAAACCCTAAACCCTAAACCAGAGCCTCTTTGTGGCAGGACAGGCTTCAGTGCATTTTCGTAACTACACATGGGTAGTTTTCTAAATTAGGGCCCCTTTTAGGGCCCTTTTTTTGTAAGGGTGCCGTACGATATTGGGGACCCAAAACGGGACCTTAGTTTAGAGAACTACCCACATGGTGATAAGCCCCAAGACCTCAAGGCCCAACGCCAAAATCCCCTGCCGGATAGTCGCCGAGGTGCGGTCGAGGTTCTCTCCACTCTCGGCACAGGCCCGTTGCCTCTTGAGCCGCGCATCGAGGGTTGGGCCCGTCGATGTGTCTTTGGTTAGGGTTTAGGGTTTAGGGTTTAGGGGTTTAGGGTTTAGGGTGATCAACCTTCAGCATGTCTCAATCTAAACGTTGTCCGTCAGTCCGTTTGTCCGTCCGTCCACCTTTTCGTCTGTGTGTCCGTCCGTCCGTCCCGTCCGTCCGTCCGTCCGTCCGTCTGCATGCGTTTATGCATGCATGTATGTATCTGCGTGTATGTATGTCTGCATGTCTGTATGTCGGTATGTAGGCAGTTCAGCAGGTGGGTAGGTAGGTAGGCAGGCAGGCAGGTAGGCAGGTAGATACTTAGCCATCTGTCTATGCATGCATGCACGTATGCTTGTATGCATGTCTGTGCAGATGCGTACATACATACATGACCATCTTGCCATCTGCAAGCATTCCTTAGACTTTTTCGGTTCTTCATAACATAGACTTGCACACACTGCTTTCCGCAAAAGACTCTTGGAAGTTGAAACCTGCAAACCATGGCAAGCACGGAAACATTATTTCCTGCACACCAAACCCTACAAGCCCTTCGATGAGTAGTCTACCTGTTGAGCAGGACGCGCCCAATCCCCCGGCGCTTCAACTGCGCAGTGCCTCTGCCTGGCAAATCTAGCCAGTGCGTCGCCAGAGGCCACCAATTTCGAGCTAAAGTTGCTGTGTTTTTGTCTTCGGCTCGAGTCGGTTGTCCTACAGCCCTACACCCTGAATCGCAAAACACCAAAGCCATCCAAAGCAAAGAGCACTCAAGCACTAAAGCCTTCAACTCACCTTACCAACCTAGAGCCCCCTGTCACCAACCCAGTAGCACCTCCTTTGAGCCCTGAGCCCAAGAGCTCAGACTATACAATAATAGCGCAATTTAACAGTTAGTAGAATATGCGACGATATACTGTGATATGTATATGCACACGCACATATATATATATATATATATATGTATATATGTGTATATATATAGAGAGAGAGAGAGGGAGACCCTAAACCCTGGGTCCAAAACCCTTGCACCATGAACCGGAAGGCTGCGACTTCGGCAGCGGCCGGCGCTCCTGAGCTTGCAGCGCAGGCTGCGCGGCTGGCGGCGCTCGGCAGGCCGCAGGATTTAGGGTTTTAGGGTTGAGGGTTTCAGATTTAGGGTTTTACGGTGTTCAAATGTAGGGTTTTAGGGTTTAGGGTTTCAGGTTTAGGGTTTTACGGTGTTAAGATTTAGGGTTTAGGGTTTCAGTTTTAGGGTTCTACGTAGTTGGGTTTAGGATCAAGAGAAGCCCAAGGCGTATCGCGACAGGAAAAGACCCTCTGCTTCAAGTAACCCGATAGGTCCGTGAATGTCCGTACTGTAGCACGTACTTCGTTGCCCTCAAAGAACCCATAATAAACCCGAAACCCTAAACCCTTCAAGAGCCCATAATGTGGAAACCCGATTGAGGCCGAAGTTTATGATCGTCTTTACGTACAGAAACTCGACATTGATTGATAGGGCCCCGTTTAAATTTGTCAGAAGACTCCATTCGATGAGACTGGCGTCAGACTGCCGCGTTGAGAGATATACTTAGACTTGAACTACCGCATTATGTATATCCGGCAATTAAGACATTCGCTAATCAACAGCCTTCAATTGTTTGCCTCGGTAGTCCATGTCTTCAAAACTCATCCTAACAGCCAGGCCCAAAGCCGCATTGCCCACCAACACCCCCAATGCCCTCACCAATGGAGTTTCTTAATCCTCATCATCTCAATGTGATAGCAAATAATGTGGCTTTCTTACTGGGCGAGCTTCAATTAAGTTTCTTAAACCTGTAGACCCTTACGGGAACCCCAAGTTCTGGAAATTCGAACTCCATTCCTGAATACGAACCCAGATTATCAGCCCGAAACCCTAAACACCAAACCCTGAACCCGAAACCCTAAACCCTAAGCCGGAAACCCTAAACCCTAAACCCTAAACCCTAAACCCTAAACCCTAAACCCAAGCCGGCAAGCCTTGTTCAACGACAAGCGTTGGAGCTGCTCTGGGCCATCAGCTCTTCTATGGGACCCCCCCCTAGGGCGCGGAAGCTGCGAAGCCGCTAAACCCTTAACCCTGAACCCCTAAACCCTTTTTTAACCCTAAACTCCAAAAAAAAGACCTACACCCTAAACCCCCTAAACCCCCTAAACCACCTAAACCCCCTAAACCCCCTAAANNCTAAACCCGAAGCCCTAAGCCCGAAAGCCCAAGCCCTAAGGCATCAGCAGCAAGTGCAGTGGATCCTTCGAGCCTTCTTCGCGATCCTGGCATCCTCCAAGGATGCATTGGAAGGCACTTTTGGGTGGTTTTAGAGTTCATGGGTTTAGGGTTTGGGGTTTATGGGTTTATGGGTTTAGGGTTTATGGGTTTTATGGGTTTAGAGTTCATGGGTTTAGGGTTTAGGGTGTATGGGTTTATGATTTTTTTGGGTTTGTGGGTTTATGGGTTTAGGGTTTATGGGTTTAGGGTTTATGGATTCAGGGTTCATGGGTTTAGGGTTTAGGGCTTATGGGTTTAGGATTGAGTTTATAGGTTTAGGGCTTAGTTTGGGCTTTAGGCGTTTAAAGGGCCTGAACAGGGCTCTTGTTGCATGGTGATGATGATGATGATGACGATGATGATGATGATTGTGATGGTGATGACGATGACGATGATGCGGGACTAGAGTTCATTAAAAACCGTTGGAAGATCTTGCGAATCACGTACAGGGCCAAATGCGCTACATGCTAGAATCGACATAAGGCCCCTACAAGACCTTGCGACGGAGTGACACGACCTTGGAGTGAGATGTACAAAAAATAAAGTCAAAAGGGGCTAACACTACAATGCTAATGGAAGTAGCAGAAACAAGTAGGTGTACGCACCTTGGAGCTCCAGAGATCAGGTGCGCTCGAGCCATCGAACACGACCGTCTTGTCCACCACGCCCCGCGGCTCACAAAGACCCCTAAACCCTAAACCCCCAAGCAAGGGCCAAGGGTCCCAGGGCTGGGCATTTTAGGGCCTTTCAGCTTTCACTGGAGTCTGTAGGGGTTTCGGGGTTCAGGGCATGCTAGTAAGGCTCCAAAGAACAAAGTCTAGGCTCGCAGCGTTTAGCGCATTTTATGGGTTTTGGGTTTAGGTGTTTAGCCCACGACCCCTGGCAAGATCCCGAGCTTGAGCTGCACGTTGGCCCTAATCCTTACAAACGGGTTTAGGGCTTCGGGTTTAGGATTCTAGGGCTTAGGGCAAGATGACGATGTCCATCGGTTTCCTAAAAAGAGCTCTTAAGGGAACCCTGTTCGAGCAGGCGGGCTGATACCCTGAAGCTAGCTGGCGCAGAGGAGCATCAGACCACCCAAGCCACATCCGACTCCCTGAAGTTTTGGGACGGTTTAGGGTGTAGGGGTTTAGGGGTTCAGGGGTTCAGGGCTTTAGGGTTTAGGGGTTGGGGTTTCGGGTTTACGGGTTTAAGGTTTATGGGTTTAGGGTTTTAGGGTTTAGGGGATGGGTTTAGGGGTTTTAGGGGTTTAGGGGTTTAGGGTTTTGGGGGGTGCATCCATCCGTTTAGGGTTTAGGGTTGCAGCCCAGACTATGGGAGCCCTGGCATCTTGCCAGAAACGGCGAGCCCAAACCTTAAAACCCAAGCCGAACCTATAACCCTAAACCCTAAACCCCTAAACCCTAAACCCTAAACCCTTACACCAAGCCAGAAGCCCTAAACCCCCAAACCCCTTACAGAACCCCTATAGATCCCTGAGCCCTTTAAAAGGAGCCCTTAAAACCCTAAAGCCGAAACGCCCTAAGCCCTAAAACCATCCAGTGGGAGCCTAGGGTCCTGGGTGTGCGGGCAGCTGCAGATCGAGATGAGGCTTTGGCTTAATATAGGGGCCTTAATAATTAGCACACGGTTCCTTTAAAGGTACCCTTAAAGGGGTTCTATAAGGGATCTATGATAAGGTTCTAGATAATAGGGAGATCCCCTGTCTTTGGCTTAGGGTTAGGGTTTAGGGTTGTTTGTTGAAATTTTGCTAGGGTTCAGGGTTGATCGATGTCCAGGGTTTCGGTTGCTGGGTCTAGGGCTCAGAGTTTAGAGCTCAGGGTTTAAGGTTTAAGCATAGGGCTCGAAAGAAGCAGAGGTGATAGTAGCGGTCCCGTTTCCTATTAGAGCCTCTCTCTCTCTCTATATATATATATATATGGGTAGTTGTCTAAATTAGGGTCCCTTTTTAGGTCCCCAAAATAGTACGGCACCCTTATTCAACGGACCGCAGCAGGATCCTACTTCAGAGAACTACCCATATAGAACGCTTATAGTGTTTCTATAGAAACCCTTATAAATCCCTTTAAGGAACCCTGCGGAGGAAGCAGAAGCAGTAGCAAGGCTTCAAGAGGCCAAGGCTTTAGGGGGCAGAACAGAGCACGTGATGTAGGGGCCTGAATAATTACACATACGATTTAGGGGGGTTCCTTGTTATAGTTATAGTATAATCTACCCCAAAGCCCTATTCGAATTTTTAAGGCCCCTACACCCTAAACCTTAAACCTCCATGATGGGGGGGGGGGTGATTCTTGATTTTGGGTGATCTTGGTCCTCCCCTGACGTGAACTTGGGCGTGACTGAGGCGGTGATGAGTGAGGGCTTTGGTCCCAGAACGCCCAATACCCCTATATTACGGAATATACCTGAAATCATAATATTAAGGCCCCTATCATTAAAGGTATGTTCCTGAATTCCCTTATAGAACCCTTATAGAGACCCTTATAGATCCCTTTAAGGAACCCTATAATTTAAGGTAGATTGCTTAATTAAGGGGTATTTGGGCTCTCTGGGGAATGGGCTGCTGGGTGAGTGGGAGCTCCTTGGAGCGAGCTTGACGCTGCAGTGCGAAAGGCCCACTACACTTTAAACAAACAACTAAACCCAAAACCTTGAACCCTAAACCTGAAACCCTAAACCCTAAGCCTTAAACCCTAAACCTTAAACCCTAAACCCTAAACCCTAAAACCTAAGCCTTAAACCCTAAACCCCATCCCTCCCCAGATGCTCTAATCACACAGGCGCCTATAGAAGAGCTTCGAGGTCTCTCTTGGAGTTAAGTGTTGAAGGCTTGGGATCGTGTTTCAGCCTGGGTTCTAAGGTCCATATGGGTAGCTCTCTAAATTAGGGACCCTTTTAGAGTCTTTTTTAATATGACTTTGGGGACCCAAAACAGGGACCCCAATGTAGAGAACTACCCATATAGGGCTTATCCTACTTCTATTACAGTTTGGGTTCGTGGCTCAGGTTTCAGGGTAGGTCCTAAGCCCTTTTAAGATCCTTTCCAACCCTGTAAAAGCCATTCCTATTGAAACCCATGAAGCCTTGTAAAGAGAAGCGAGCAAAGAAGCCAAGTTACGAACACCCTATGGAAACCTTCAGCAGCACCCCTAAAACCGCATGGCAACTCATCGCGTGCTTTCTAAGTGATGCAGGCGATATGCCTGGAGCTCTTCGAGCAACTGCTGCAGCTCTTTGCGCGCACGGAGAGGCCGGAGACAGTGGCAGCCACCCGGCAGGAACACAAGCAAAATCAAGGTGGTTTAGGGTTTAGGGTTATAGGCTTCAGAAAGGGTTTTATCGGGCTTGCAAGCTTGTTACAAGGCTTGGGCTTAAGTATTCTACGAGGGTTACTTTGAAGCTTCTTTCGGGTTCTCTTGGGCCTGCGATAAGAGTTGCTGGAATTCCAGGAAAAACGAAAACCACCATCTCGAGATCCCTCGACCGATGAACTCGCTAACACATGCGGCGAAGCAAGATCTGAACCGCAAGTTTTGAAATCCGAAACCCTGAAGCCCTAAACCTTGCTCCCGTCCTGAACTCATACAAGCACATACCGATTAGACAGCCCATCAAGATTGAGGCAGAGCTTCTTCGTGCGGAGATTCTGCCTTGGCTGATGCGTGGCCCGGTAGAATTTGGATTGAGAGTGGCTCAGGGTTAATATGTTTGTGTAACTCGCAGGGTTTAGACTGTGAGACCCGGTGTTATGACAATCCCCAGCATTTTCTAGCATGTTCCATGTTAAGTTCAGGAACAAAGCATAGCTCCCATGACTTAGAGTACTCAACCCTAACTGCTGAACCCTAAACCCGATACACCCTAAACACTAGAAGCCCTAGAAGCCCCCAACCAGAAACCGTAAGTACAGCAGGATTTTGTGCAGCGGCCGTGCTCCCCTGCTCCTCCTCCGGGTTGAAGGCTTAGAGTTTGGCGTTTAGGGTTTAGGGTTTGGGTGTACTCTATGCCACGACCCTTGCATGCTCTGTTTGCCTGGGCCCTTTTGCTTATCTTCTCCCCGAGCTTTTAATTATCCATATATGGGCTTTAGAGTTTAGGGTTTTGTGGTTGAGGGTTTCGTGTTTAGGGTTCGGGGGGCTCGAGAAACGTCTGATACGTGTTCTCAATGTTCCAGCCTTTGTCTTTTGGACCGTGGGGGATTGAAGTTTAGGGCGTATTTCTGGGTAGCGATGTCAGGGTTGAGAGTTTAGGATTAAAGGTTTCCGGTGCACTTGATGCTTCATCGGTGGATTCATAACTGGCGGTTATAGTAAATTGGGCTTGAAGCAAATTGACATGTAGTTTCCTTGTTCATGAGACAGCAGGCCCTCCGTCGGTTTACACCGAGTTCTACCTACCGCAACTACTTAAAACAAGGGTGACGACCCTAAACCCGTAAACCCTAAACCCTCAAGAAATAAGTACAAATCAAGAATAAACTTCTTGTTGCTGTTAGCCAACCGGTTTGAAAATAGGTGCAGGAGTGGAGGGCAAGTGGGGTGGGGAGGGGGTGCGGTGGCGGGGGGTGGGCAGGCCCGGGCCCAGATGCCGGTTTGTTGTGTAGGTTGCGCTGTTTCATTACGCTGGGGGTTTGGTGGCTTTTGAGATATGCGCTTTCACTACGCTGGGTTTTTGGTTGCCAGGAAGTGGGCAAGGTTATCCTACAGATCTGCAGCCACAACAGCGTGCACGACCTCATGAGCAAGTGCGCGGATGAGGACGACGCATCCGGCGTGAGCGCCCAGGCCCTCCGTACCTTGGCTGTGCAGTTCTTGCAGCTGTACGAGGCTCTGAAGAAGAAGCCCTGCAGAAACAGCACGGTGAAGGCGCCGACGTTTTGGTGGAGTCTGTGGACAGGGCTCGCAAACTCTACCGCTGCCTGTCGCACTTGCTCTCCGCCCCCACCGTAGGTCAGCCCACGACAGCTGCGGAGGTGTTGTGGTTTGCAGAGTACCTATAGTCTCCATTGTAGTTCCTTTTTTTGGTTTAACCAATTGAATATAGATTAAGGATTTTATAAGGTATCCCCAAAAAGGAACTACAATGGAGACTATAGGTACACAGGCAAAGCTACGTCTGAGAAGAGCTCCAAGGCGACGTTCAAGAGCAAGCCGAAGGCCCAGGGCAACATGGAGGCCTTACCCATACAGTAGAATGTGGGAGTTTCCGAAAATAAGGGGTACCTTATTTTGGGGTCCTTATAATAAGGATCCTATTATTTAGGGTTCTATATTAGGGTCCCCTATTTTCTGAAACCCCCATGTAGGGTCGCTATTTCAGGAATTACTATGATGCTTTAGGCAAGCATCCCATAACAGTACCCAGCACCTGGGAGAACATGTCCAAACTAAAATCTATGCCCTAAACCCTAAACCATGTAACCAAATGGCCCATGATTTTGGTAGCTGGAGCCCCTAAACCCTAAACTCACTAGAGCTTCGAGCAAGCACTGTAAACCTTGTGCTTCCGGCTCTCCCCTGAACCCATTCATGGAATTGAAGCCCCAAAGCCTTGTGAGTATTGTTCCTTGGGGTTCCTCAGTATATATTTATAGCATAGCATACCCCAAAACCCTGTTCGAGTTGTTGAGGGCCCCTAATATCGAACCCTATCATAGATCCCTTAGTGGAACCCTTTCAGGATCCTTTTAAAGCAACCCTATTCTAATCGCTAAGGCCCCTATAGACCCTAAACCCGAAAGCGAAAGCCGAAACCCCAAAGCCCCTAAACCCTAAAGCCCCTAAACCCTAAGCCCTAAACCCTAAACCCCTAAACCCTAAACCCGAAAGCCGAAACCCTAAAGCCCCGAAACCCCAAAGCCCCTAAACCCCTAAACCCCTAAACCCTAAAGCCCCCAAACCCCTA